GTGAATAGTCTGTATGGCAGGGCTGCACGGCCCTGCTCCTGGAGAGTTACCATCTTGCAGAGTTTAGGTGCAGCCCTAATTTCACACACCTGATGCAGATAATCAGGCCCTTCAGTAATTCATTTCAGTATTGGAGTCAACTCTGCTTCAACAAAGCTGACTCCAATACTGTCATCCAAGGTTGACTCACTGCTCAGATTCTGTAGTGCAGGGTTCTTCAAATCTGGACCTCTATTCCAAATCCGGGCCGTGTTTTTAGGTCTCCCAAGTAGTTTGTTTAATGATGACTGATTCTGATTGGCCAGAGGCTTCACACCTGGCTCACAGGTAAAGGAAGGCTGGAAAACCAGCAGGGCTCGGACCTCGAGGACCGTGATTTGAATAACCCTACTGTAGTGTCTCACCCGAGTTATGCTGCGTTCCATTTGAACTGGTAACTAGGAAATTCCGAGTTTCTAGTCGGAAATTTCAACTGGAACACCTCCTGAAACTGGATTTTTTTTTTTTTATTTTAACTTTACAGAACAATTATAAAACAACAATTATATACAGCCAGAGATATTACACGACACACAAAAGCAGCACATACAACAACATGATAATATTCACAAAGGACTATTTTTCAAACAATGTCATTATTACAATTGCTTTTCTATTTTTACAAATTTTATTTAGATTCGTTAGGTCTACTTGGAAAACTGAGAAGAGGGGTTTAGATTTATTTTGTTTACATTAGTGAATATAGAACTTAGCTAAAATGAAAAGTTAACCACAAAAACCAAATCTGGATTTTCCTCATTACTGTCAAAAATTCAAAATAAGACGTACATACAAAAAAACTAAAAGGTACCGTATATATTAGGCTACTTTGTATTATATCAAGCATGTCGAACCAAAATTTTCAGTAAAAGTGCAAGACTAAAATAAATGTACACGTGATTCACAGTCCTTCTCAAAAAAAAGCAGTCTGTGTCAAGATCTTTAATACTTTTAGAAAGAAACTGCTTAGATGGGTAAATCTTATGTATTAGTTTAAATGTAACTTCCTTCACTTTATTTCTTAGCATTTTTGTTTTATTATTTATTTATGGAAGAGACCACACATTCTTCAAGGGTATGTTCTCCACAACGCCATCCCAGTATGGAACAATATTTGGAACAGAGGTGAGGTCTTGTGTAAAATATGCCCTAACTTTTCCATTATCGTTTTAGCTGAGACAAGTAGAAAAGCATATTTTACCTACCCCGTAGATTGAAATGGGTCTAAGTACTAGCCACCCGCTCACTGTGGTCTTGTGCTAGTGTTTAGTGTTTTTAGGCACAACATACCACGTAATGTGTTATCAACTGCTATTGCTAACAATTAACCTGGGGGTATTCCATGAAGCAGGCTTAAGGGAAAGTCTGACTATTTCGACAAGTCAGTCTTACTTAAGTGAGAGTTCTGTTCCATCAACATGTCTTAAATGAATCCCCGCTGAATTACATGGTAATTTAGGCCTGCGAACAAGCCTGGTCCGGACCAGGCTGTCTCGCTTAGTAGTGATGGGTCGTTCTTGAACGATTCGTTCATTTTGAACGAAACTTTAATGTGACTCGGGAAGAACGAATCGTCTTGTGGGAGTGATTTGTTCAGTCGCGCATGCGCATTTGCGCAACTTCCTATAGTTTCTGTATTGGAATTATTGATTCACCTGTTTCAAGTCTGCGGGAACATGCAGATAAAGCATCGGATATAGCGGACTCGCATATAACAGAATTTCGCTTATAATGAACAAACAATTTGGTCCCCATGCAGGGCCGCTTTTAGCTGTAGTTTTGTTCGGCTATAACGGACATACTGTACAGTTCCGCCTACAAGGCGTGTGGCGTGCTGGTGATATCCAGCGCAGATACATACGTAGTCGGGATTATTAATAGTCACGCATCTAGTCAGGTATAGTTGGATTACTACATGTACAATATAATTATCTATACCACAAGTGTGTCTGCTGAAGTGTGGCATGAGTAAATGGTGTCCTGTAGTTGTGTTCTGGGCATACAGAAACTCTGGATGTAACGGACTGTTTTGCCAGGTCCCTTGAAGTCCGTTATAACGGTATTTTACTGTAAAATAAAAGCGTACTCATATTACAAAGGTGAAACATGAAATGCAATGACTGTAATTGGAATAATAAAATAATATGAACAGGAAGATATCTTTATATTTTTAGTCACTGTCTACTTTGAAAGTTTACTACTAAAATAGCAAAGACATAATACGGTTATTTGTGCAGAACATTTCAACCGGATGTGATTTAAAGTATTTTACGGAGATCAAATAATATTATACAGTAATAATGACAGATGAAATCAACCAAGAAGTTTCTCCGTTGGCTATAGGGATCGAACCAGCAAGTTTCGCATTACAAGGCAACAGCATAAACCGCTGTACCACCATGCCACTGTATTACACACTTGTAACATTTTACAATGTACTGTACTAAGCACTTGTAGCAATTCATTACCAAGCCAACTTCCTGGCTGTTTATGGCCTCAGTATTGCCTTTTTAACGATTACATT